CAGCAGGGACCATAGGGTCAGCCCGGTGTGCACTGCGTGGGCGAGAGCTACCCGACCCAGACGCCGTCTCCAGCCTCGGGGCAGGAGCATTGCCAAGGCCCCAGAGGAGGGGCCATCCTGCCACCCTTCCCCATGGTGGAAGAAGAGGGGGATGCATCTGGGAGAGATGATGGAGTGTCTCGAGTCCCAGTGGGCTCCAGAGCTTTGTGCCTGGGAGGTTGTCCTCCCCGCAGCAGGCAGAAGCTGGCCCTGCTCAGAGATGCTTGAGGGCAGAGCTGTCCCTCCAGCAGCTCCCTGTCTCCCCTGGGATGCAGGGCATGGATCCAGCATGGATCCAGGCCCCTGCTGCAGGAGGACGTGGGCTTGTGCTGGCATTGCCCATGGGCTCTGGGCACAGTGATGCTCTCTCTGCGGAGCAGGGGACGGGCCAAGAAACCATCTCTCACTGCGTGGGTGGCAGTGGGACCACTGGTCCCCCCTATACGGAGACCTCGCCGGGGTCCGTGCTGGGCGGGAGCTCCTTGCCCTGGGGTGGCAGCGAGGGCAGTGTTGAGGGGACGGGGAGCACATGGGTGCTCGGTTCCCAGCTGCCAGACCGTGAGGAAGGTGGGAGGCGGAGGGTTTCCACCCAAGTGGGTAAACCTCTGTCTGCCCTCACCGAGCTCCTTCTGGGGTGCAGCTGGGCAGGAGCTCCTTGGGCCAGCAGTGCTGCTACAGGGTGAGCCCCCTCGAGAGGGGTGGCCCTTCCATGTGGCCCCGCTCCCGTGCCAGCCCCATACGGACGATGCTTTCTGACCTTTCGTTTTTCTGTGTGTGTACGTGTGTGTGTTTGTCCTTGGGTCGCTTTCCACTTATAGCGTTTCGTTTGGAAATGACACTAGGTATTTCACGCGCACCCGCTCGGTCTGGCCCCTCCTGCTTTTCTCTCTTTCTCCTTTGCCTCCTCCCTCTGCTTTTTGCTCTTTCCCCCCTCCCCTGAGGCTCCTCTTCTCCTCTTCCTCCCTGGGGAGCCACTCTCTTCTCAAGCGACCCGTGTCTGCACAACAATCCTTCGCCATGGCTCTGTCTCATGCGGGGGTTTTCCATGTATTTTGTATGCCTTCTGAAAGCGTCGCTCTCCCTCTTCTTCCGACACGGGGGCAATTGCAGCTGAGAGCCTCTCCCCGCTCCTGGCTGCCCCGGCTCTTGTTAAAAGAGCCCCTCAGCCACCAGGGCGCTGCTCCAGGGCTGTGCCTAAGCGTCCTTGTTGGGACACCACTGAGCCACAGCTTCCCAAGGATGCTCAGGCGGGAGCCAGGGCTGTGGCAGCTCTGGGTGGCATTGGGGAGTGGGTGTCCCATAACCCCAAGGCTGGCCTGGGAGGGAGCCCGGGCGGGGGGTGAAAGAGGGATCCCCTGTGCCCTCAGACCGGAGCCGCCTCCCGCTTCCCCACCCTCAGTTGCTTGACCTGGCGAGGGCGGCTGCTGCTCTTGGTCTGGGTGGCTGCGCCATCCTCCACCCCGTAGGCACTGGGCGAGTGGGGCCGGGTACCCCCCACTCTTCCTCCCAGCCTGGGCGCCATTGAAAACACAGCGAGGGGAGCGACCGCAGCCCAGTGGGAATGGGGATGGATGGGGCTGGCGATCAGGGCAGAGGAAGGGCAGGGGGAGACAGCCTGCCAGGGGCCAGCCACCAAATTGTGGTCCGTGGGTCCTGCTGGGGCTCAGGGCTGGCAGACGGGGGCAGCCCCGGGGATGGGGACCCAGCTGGCGGGGGGGTGCTCACCCAGGGGCTGGCTGGCAGCAACCCCCAGCGCTGAGCATCTTCCCCCCCTTCCCTCCTGGCCATCGTCACCCAAATGGTGACAGCTGCTTCTGGTGGGGGCCGGGAGGTGCTGCGTGCCCTGGACTGGATGATGGGGACCTGGCTTGGGTGCGCTGGGGGTGGCAGCCCCCCAGTCTGAGCACGGGGGTGGGGCATGCACCCCCCTTTGCCCTCCTTTGCCTTCCCAGCCTGCCCTGCCTTGCCTGCACCCCAGCTGAGCCCCCATTCCTCCTTTGGTCCCTCTTCCCCAAAACCCTGGTCCCTCGGCGGCTGTTTCGAGGGTGCCCCGTACCCCTCC